TGCAGCTGGCCATCCGCAACGACGAGGAGCTCAACAAGCTGCTGGGCAAGGTCACCATCGCGCAGGGCGGCGTGCTGCCCAACATCCAGGCCGTGCTGCTGCCCAAGAAGACCGAGAGCCACCACAAGGCCAAGGGCAAGTGAGGGCTGTCGGCCGCCTCCGGAACCAAAAAGGCTCTTTTCAGAGCCAACAACGTCGTCACTGAAAGTTGCTGTGCTGAACTATGAGTTGCACCTTTTGGTTATAGGCGGTAACTCTCCCAGTCTTCGGATAGCAAAGAGCTGATAATTGAGAGTCATTTTCCCAGTCTGAGTTTAAGTTCCAGGGGTAAATTTCTAAGCCAGGTGTAATGGTGCATCCCTGTAAACCCAGGACTTGAGCCCGAGGCAGGAAAATGGGCAGAACTGGGGCCAGCCTGCAGCTATAATCTCTTCTCGGTCAAAACAGTCTTTGCTTTCTGCCTATTTCTAACCACGTCACTTTCCTTGCAATAAAACTAAGGACATCAGAATAGGTCAATACTTTCTGGTGCTCTTTAAAAATATGTAATTGAAAAATGCAAAGCCCTTGAAAAACTCACCAGTTTCTGTTCCTGTACTTAGTTTATTTAGGCACACTTTGAGACAGGATCTTGCTATCTAGTTCCGATTGGAGTTGAACTGATTCTAGCCCAGGCTGGCCTCCAACTCCCAGACCTGCCTCAGCCTCCAGAGTGCTTTCATTAGGGATGTGCGCCAGCCACGCCTGCTTCAGTTTCACTCCATTCTGATTTTAATCTAATTATGAAATGGCTCGCTCTTAAAAGTTTAAGTAAAACTTTAAAAATGCTTTCATTAGAAGGCACAAATAAATGATGGACTCCAAGGGTAGCCTATGACTTGTTGCAAACTTCAATAAGAGTCCTGTTATTGATGGAATTCTGCTTCACTCTCCTGGGATAAAGCACCTGCTTCTCAATTGACACGTGAAGGTTTTTGTTTTTTGGTGGAACCAGGGATTGAACTCAGGTCCTTGCGCTTGCCAGGGAAGCGCTTCTTCGACTGAGCCATCTCCTCGGCCCAAAAGAGTCGGGTCAGGGGCTCAAACCGGCGACCTCGCAGTGAAGGTTGTTAACAAGAGAAACTGAGCAGGACAGATGCCACCTTACACCTCAGTCCTCAGGCTCTAAACTGGCTTTCTGCTCCTGACCGGGTTGCTGTCTAATTTCTGAAGCTTTTGCTGTCTTTTGGCTGTTTCTGACCCTACACCTGATTGCTTGGTGTGAACGCCAACACTTTTCTCCTAGGAAGGAGCAGAAACCACCCTTTTCAGCTGTGAGGAGATCTAGACTTCCGGGGTTTCAGAGGGTAACTGCTGCCAGGGAGTCTATTTGTGTCTGCGGGCAACAGTAGGCTTAGCTATTTTTTCAAGACTCTGGGAGAGGCCTCCGGGATACAGCCTGATAGTATGACAGGGAGGTTGTTAAACCTGCTATCCTGTTCCCATGGTGGCAGAGATGTCAAGAACGACAGGCAGGGGGCCTAGTTACATGGCCCTATGTTGTCAGAACTCAGGCTCTAGGCAACAGCAGGCTCTAATGTCTGTCTTGGGAGTGAAAGGATTAGCCTGCAGGTACCAGTCCAGCTGGGGGGAAGCCGGAAGAGGCAGCGGTCCTGCAGAGGAAGAAAACGCTCTGGCTGAGGAAACAAAAATGGATGTGGATGATTAAGAGGGGCTTAAATTTTTTGTCTGCACTATCCCAGACCCCAGAGTAGCCAACAGGGCAAAGGCTATCACAGGGTGGAAAAGCCCAGGAAATGGGTATCTGGCAGGCAACTCTTGTCCAGTTTTGCACTGCAGGAAACTTTGGGGCTATCAGAAGCCATCCAGAAGAATGGTGAAAGGTGAGCAGCAGGAGGCAGGCTGGGGGAGCGAGGTGACAAGTGTCCCTTGGGTGTGTGGTCCCACGAGACATGGCAACCCTGGAAACTCCCGAGTATTTACTGAGTAGTGAGCACCTGGGGGAGGGCAGGAAGGTGCCAGGCTGCCAGGCCTGATGGGCACCTGATAATTGACATGGTCTGCAGAGCCACATGACTGTGCTGCTGGGAGGCAAGAGTCCTGGTGGCGAGCCCAAGCAGACAGGCTAAGAAACTGCACGGGTTGGGGCTTATCAGGCCATGGGTAGGCTCTGCCACATGCCCACAGATGGAAATCAGCCATAGACTGTGAGGCTGTGCCCTGCGAGATGCCCAGCTGCTCTTCCTAGGCTGCTACACGGGGCAGGTCCCTAGGAGGAGAGGAGTCCCTATCTGTTGGATATTGACGCGAGGGCATGGGAATCCTCTTTCATATTGGGATGGGGAGAGTGGTGAGGACCTGGACCTTACAGGGAATGGGAGTGGTTACATAGTGGCTGCAGAGCGCTGCAGCTGGGTGGCTCACCTGCTCCGCGGGCAGAGGCACAGGGGAAGCTAGGGAGGGCTAGGGCAAGTGGGAGAAGGGACGCCTTCTGAGGCAAAGGACCAGATGTGAGACCACAGGATTGAGTCAGATCCACAGAACACACAGTACAGAGGGTGTGTAGGGTCCACTCTAGCAGACAGAGGGCAAGAAGGAAGATAACTGGACCACTGAAGGGAGCCCTGGGTCTCAGAGGGCCCAGGACAAGGATGTCCTCTGTCCATGTGAGAAGTACCCGGAAGCTTGAAGCAAGAAAGATTTAAGACCAAGGAAGTGTTGAAAGGGCCAGTCAGATGGGACAGAGCAGGGCATTCGGCAGCCCCTTCTGGAATTTGGGTCAGAGGAGGGACCAGGAAGACCATGCCAGCCAGCACAGGCCATGGTTGTTCAGGAGTGATGCACCCAGGGGAAAGGGTCTCGTATGGGGCCAGAAAGGATCTTCCTGTCCACTTGTGTGCAGCACTGGGGTTTTAATCTTTATGTAAAATGCTCCTGGTAGCCAGGCTGTCCTCATAAGATTAGCAGCGTGTGCTATCTTTTTCCCGGCTGTAGCAGAACTGAGACAATCTCCCACGAGGGAGGTCTGGCCGGAGCAGAAAGTACAGCCTTAGGAAAGCCCAAAGGGATGTGTCCTGTGGGATTGGGGAGGGTGGCTCGGATGTGTGGAGTGGAGGGGGATACAGCGAGCGGGAGTGGGGCCTTGTGGGGGGCTGTAGCCCTCTCCACCCTACTGATGACCAAGAATGCTAGGGGTGCAGAGGCTTCCTTGGGCCCCGGTGACCAGGAAACCTCCTGGGTGATCTGACTAGGAAAAGCTGGGCCTCTCTCTGAGCTAGTGGAGGTGGGGAGGCCAAATGGGGTGGGGGTGAGCAAGGAAGGGAGTAGTGGAGAGGGAGAAGGGGGCACTGGCTGAAGCCCTTTGGGGCCCGGGGGTGGGGGGAGGCCTCCACCCAGATCTGCAGGCACCTCAGTTCTGAGTGAAAGCAAATAAGCTCGCACACAATGTGCTGGGAACCCAGAGGGGCCTCAGAGCACCCTGAGGGGGGTTGTGCGGCAGCAGGCAGCAGGCAGCAGGCAGCAGGCAGGGCAAGGAGCAGACAGGAGAGGCTCCAACAGGTGGTCAGGGTCCTACCTGGGGCTCTGTGCCGGCCACTGGTCCCTTAGCACAGGCTGACTTTACTGCTCCTTGCTTTATACTTAATGCCCAAAGGCCTCGAAATCCTCTGCACATCACAACTTCTCACATGGATCTCCGAGTCCAATCAAGAACTCCTAAACAAAATAAAATAAACAAACAAAAAAATCCTTATATTCATCCTCCCAGCTGTTATTAAAAATTACACCAGAGTCACAGCTATCTTTCTCCTTTCTCACAATTCCATTAGACTCAAAATATAAGCGCAGGGCCAGCCAGAGAACTCAGCAGACATAAGTGCCTGCTTAGGCAGCCACGGGGTGAGGGGCTCGACCCTGGCCTGCCTGCAGCGCTGCAATGGTGACTGAGACTGGGTGTGGTGGTGCGAGCCTGTAATCCCAGTGCTTGGGAAGCTGAGAACAGGACAGGGTCACTACGAGTCTGATCTTTGTAGTGAGACCCTGTAGACCTTGTACTAAATACAAAAAACAAGGTAAGGGCACTGTCCGGCTCAGTGCCTCCCTACCGCCCCGGGGGGCGATCACCCCTCACTGCTGTGGCCTCCTGAACCCTCTGCTCGTTCTGCTCCTGTGGGCCTGGCTCGCTCGGTGCCTGGCTCCACATACCCTTCCTGGCACCAACTCCCTTGGTACAAAAGACTGAATACAAATGCTTAGGGCCTGTGTACGTGAGTCTAGACCCTGCTGCACGAGCGAAGCAGGGAGAAGTGTCCTGCAGATGAGAAGCGGGTGCACACGGGTTCAGGGCAGACATCTTCAGTGGCAGCTGCCCGAGGGTGCCCGTGTCTCAAGGGCGGCGCACATATTAATTACAGAACTGTGAAAAAACTAGACTTGTTTCAAGCAAGGGCAATGAGTCCGGCTAATGTCTACATTCCTAGAAGTCATGAGACTTAGGATTTCACACAATACCCACTGTGTTTTCTTGTGTCTGGAGGGACGGGGCCAATTGCTGTGCCACACACACACACACACACACACACACACACACGTTCTCTACCCTCATCTGGTTCCTGAGGTTAGAGGTGTGCACCACCGTGCTGTCCAGTCACTCTGAACTACTCCTAATACAGGAAGTAAAGTATTTTTCTAAAATTTAGAGTCCCAAAAATAATCAATACTGAGGCAGGGCGTCTCGCCGCCGCCTGGCGGGGCACGGTGTTGGGCGCCAGCCCGCCTCGCTGTCTCGGGGTGCCCAGCTAAGTCGGCAGTAATGCTAACACTGGCAAAGCGGGATGATGGTCTCAAAGGGTCCCGGACGCCAGCCGCCTCGACTGACTCCACGCGAAGGGTGTCTGTGAGAGACAAGTTGCTAGTTAAAGAGGTTGCAGAACTTGAAGCTAATTTACCTTGTACATGTAAAGTGCATTTTCCTGATCCAAACAAGCTACACTGCTTTCAGCTAACCGTAACCCCAGATGAGGGTTACTACCAGGGTGGAAAATTTCAGTTTGAAACTGAAGTTCCTGATGCATACAACATGGTGCCTCCCAAAGTGAAGTGCTTGACCAGGATCTGGCATCCCAACATCACAGAGACAGGGGAGATCTGTCTCAGCTTACTGAGAGAACACTCGATCGATGGCACTGGCTGGGCTCCCACGAGAATGCTGAAGGATGTTGTTTGGGGGTTGAACTCTTTATTCACTGATCTTTTGAATTTTGATGATCCACTGAATATCGAAGCTGCAGAACATCACTTGCGGGACAAGGAGGACTTCCGGAACAAAGTGGACGACTACATCAAGCGCTACGCCAGATGATGAGAGGAGCACACTGTGGCCAGGGACCCCGCGGGCCGCCTCCCGTCCTCGCGCCCCTCAGCCCCGTGGGCTGTCCCTGTCCTGCGGCTGCCCTGCCCTGGCGAAGACATCCTCCTGACTGCCCACTGTAGCTGGAGAGTGCAGCATAAATACAGCAGGAAAGTGTGTCTGGCCAAAAAAAAAAAAAAAAAAAAAATACTGAGGCAGCTAAATACCCATCATTTTCCATGTAAACCTATCTGCAGGTTTTTAAACAAGCTGGCCAGGTGTGCTTGCACACGCCTGTAATCCTAGCACTTTAGGGGTTAAGGCAGAGAGCTGAGTCTGAGGTCGCCCTGGGCTGTAAATGAGGTCACGACCAGCTTGAACTGCACAGTGAGATCTTATCTCAAAAAGATAAAAGCAAATAAAAGATGATTACTATTCAAAAATCTTACATTTCCAAAAATTCACTGCACGGGGCCTACCCCTTAGCTCAGTTCTTTAAGTGGCTGCTTCAACAAAGCAGTCAGGCTCAGGTTGCTGTGGTTCAATCCCCACAACACTCCAGCCAGCCAAACCTGCCCTGCAGGCATTGGGAGAAAAAAAAAAATTCACCACAAGCTCCTGGTGATCCGTGTCTACTGATGCGCTTTCAACAAAACGTTTCCTCTTAGATCCTTCACCCTTTACCTGCTTAAGATTCCCTTTGTCCTTTCTTCAGGCACTGCTGCTGTGGCGTTTTCTGTAACCTTTTCATTCCTGTGTACAGTAGCTTAAAATGAGTGATTGAGCACAACCCACTTTTGTGTGTAAATTATTCATTTGTTGATTTTGGGGCCAGCTCAGCCCACCCTGGGGGTGGGGCTGCACAGCATGTGGTGCCTGCGGGGTCTGGAACCAGCCCCAGTGATTGCGCAGGCAGGCGGGCGGGCGCTTTACACGGCTGAGTTATTTTGTGGAAAGCACTGAAGAGCATTTGCACCCTGTAAAAACGGCCCTGAAGGACTGCTGAGCACGTGCGCTGAAAGCACTTTTGACGACCGCCGGATCACAGGGAAGGGCCCCCGGAACCGGCAGTGAGGGCAAGAGGGACGCCAGCCGGCCGGAGGTGCCTGTCGCGGCAAGCAGGTGAAGGCAGCCAAAGGCCGGGGATTTTCCTTCTCAGCGCACGTTAGAACCTTACCTCCACGGGGATGCTATCAGAACCATTCTTGCTGAGTATTTACACTTAATGGAAGAAATTCCTAACACGACATTTGGTTTATAACATAAACAGGAAATTGTGGACAAGATATTTAATGAAAATGAAAGTCAGCAAGAATGATGAAGCCACCTCCTGAGCACTGTCATTTTCTTAGACAAAGTCCACCTGTGGCGCTCGCTCTCGCGGCCCTGCACCCCCAGGGGCCTCTGTGCTGCAGCTCCCCGTGCAGGCTTGGTGCTCACCACTGCTCTTGGCATCACAAAATGCCAGATTTGTGCGTCTGGAGTGCCACGCTGTTACCTGGAGCTGGTGGGAAAGCTCACCTTTAGATATTGCTTCCTAAAGTATAGTAAAAGAAAAAAAAAACTACCATAAAAAAGTAAAATTCAAGGAGTCAGTTTTAAAACGTGAGCAGCTAAAGAAAAGTATGAAGGACATAGAGGAATTTTAGCCACAGTGGCATCATTTGATTCCGTCTTTAATAAATAATTCTCGTTTTGTTGATCTTCAGGGAAGAAGTCCAGGCCCCTTCCCAGCGCGTGGCTGTCACCCGGATCCTGCACTTGCCCATCTTTCTTACCGTGGTTCTGCCGCTTCTCACCTGTACTTGGCACAAGGGCATGTAAACCAGCATGAGAAAACTGGACCCATCAGTGATGAAGTCTTGTTTATTATGTTAATCAAAACGAGCCCCTTTCTTTAGTTCTCACCCACCCAGAGGATCCTGACAAGATTCCATGGCCCTTGTCCCTCCCCTAACAGGCCTGCTGTGAGTGAAGCCAAACAACCTAAGCGCAAAACCAGCTGTGCTGGCGCACTTTCACCGGTTTTAGGCTGTTTATTATGAATATAACTTTTTTTTTTTTTTTTGAGAAAGCATCTTGGCCTTGAACTTCCAGAGATTCTCCAGCCTCAGCCTCCCCAGCACTGGCACCACGCTGTGCACCCTCCTGGCTGTTCTTTCAAAGTAGAATGCGGATGGTGATGCATGGCTGTAATCCCAGCACTCAGGAGGCTGAGGCAAGAGGATTCGCAGTGAGGCCAGACTAGACTACACAGTGAGTTCAAGGCCAGCCTGAGTGAAACAATAACCTGTCCCTGTCTGAAAAATAAAGCTAACTGGTAAACATTTATATTAACGTTCTATCTGGTTAACTTATGAATAGTTTCCTTTTTAACAATTTTTTCTCTTCTCGCATGTATTGTGCAACACAATTAAAATTACATATAGCTAATTATGAACATTAAATATGTCTTCTTTTATAAGATGGGGAGACGACTATAACGTGTGGTCTGTGGTCATTAGAGAAATCCCCAAAATAATTTAGATAGAAGTAATTTTATTTTAGAAGTAATTTTAATAGTCCCATTTTTTCAAAAAATAGTCCTTGGGCAGGACTTTTTTGACAGGATCAAAGAAGTTGTTACATCCACTAGAATGGTTTCATTTTATCAGCATATGAGCACAAGTCGAATTTCTAAAACAAATATCCAAGTATTAAAAGCCAGTTTTATAAAGGGAGCGCATAAAGATTACAAGGAGCAGAGGGAAAAGGGAAAAAGGCACACTGGCTACAACTTCCTGCGCACGCCATCAGTACACCCTAAGGGTACCAACAAAGATTTTAAGAGAAGCTATAAAAGCTTTCGTATCTGCATTCTGTGGGCCTCGGGTTAGAACCCCGAGCCCTCTGGGGGTCCATCCCCAGCCCAGTTTTAACATTTTCAGACTGTCTCTGCACGTCACTAAAGGGCTCAGGCTGGGGTCAAATCTGCAATCCTTCCGCCTCAGCCTCCCAAAATGCTGTTGTTCCGGCCTCTGCTACTGTACACGCCCAAAGGAAGTATTTACATTACCTGAACTACGCTGTCTCTTTTTCCCTAATAATCGAGGGAGCGTCAAAACTATTCAATAAGCCAAGGGAAGCTTACCACGAGCAGGCAAGGCTCTTACGCGATCACCAACCTCCCTCCCTGCCCGGCACAGAAGCACGCGCAGCGCCTCCCGGGCGACCCGGAAAGGGCGACAGCGGGCGGGCGGGCGGCACCGGCTCGCGACCCAGAGCGGCGGGGCCGAGTGCGGCGAACGCGGCGCGGGCGCGAGGGAGGGGGCTCCGCAGATGTCCGCGCCCGCGGAGCTGCAGGGTCCAGCGCGGCGCAGGCCGGGCGACCTCCGTTCTCACCTCCTTCCCCTCCGCCCCGAGGCGCGCCCGTGGAGCGGGGGGCGGGCCCTGCGACGCCTCGCCACTTCCGGCCCGCGCGCCGCTCGCTGGGCCCCGCCCCTCGGGCCTGCGGACCTGAGTGAGCACCGCGGCGCGAAGCGGGGCCGCGGTGGGGCCTCGAATCGAGACCCGCAGAGGCAGAGCTGGGCTCCCACGGCCGCCGCCCGCGCCGGAGTGGCCTCCGCGCGGGGTGACGCCAGGGCCCGCGTGTCCCTCGACCCCGCCACTGTTCTGTGGTTTTTAACCGCATTTTAACCGTTCCCCGCGTGTCCTTGATCGTGGGGACCTGAAGTTGAATTTGTGTTTTCCACTTCGGTACTTCGCTATGCTTGGGACCTGTACTCTTGTAATCTCTTAATTTGGTCTGATGATTTTACTAACGTGTGCATACGTGTCATATCAAGGATGCTCGGCAAATATTAGGCACACATTAGTCAAAGCCAAACTGAGAGAGATCTTATATGTAAGGCGCCAGCTGACCAAACATCTAAGCTATTTTAGTAGTGTTGTCTTGCATTAAATCGACGTTTATTGAAAACGTGTATTTATGGACCTTTGATTTTTGACCACGTGCATGAGTCTGAAAGTAAGCTTCCCTCTTTGGCTTGTGCACATATTTTGGGTATGAATGCGAGTATAGAAACTTTCAAAAATATCCTCTTGCAGAGCGTGGTGGGACACACTTTTAACCCTAGGGCTCATGGGGCTGAGAGAGGAGGACCACTCAAGTTTGGGCTACATGGCAAATTCAAGACCAGCCTGTCAACACCCTCTCTTGAAAAAAAATCGTAATTTTTGCTGGTTTGTCCTGTAAGAATTATTCATAATACATTTTAATCTTCAATTCACTAATCAGATACATCTTTACCTGTTTTTTAAAAATGTATTTAGTAGGGGCAACCCGCTCGGGAACCCCTCCTGTCCCTCTCCGACAGAAGCTTTCCTTTCCAATACAGTTTTACCTTCAGCCTCAAAAAAAAAAAAAAAAATTATTTAGTACAAGGTCTATGGGGTCTCACTACGCAGATGGGACTCTGATCCTATTTTCAGCCTCCCAAGCACTGGGATTATAGGCAAGCACTACCCATGCCCACTCTCAATCACCATCTCAGCACGCCCTGGGGCAGGGCCCGCAGGGCCGGCAAGGCATGTGGTGTCGGGGATCAAACCCTGTTACCTGAGCTTTGCATAACAATCACTGGTTCTGCCAAAAAAACAGAACAAAACAAAAACAAACCCAAAACAGTCGCTTTGTCCGCTGAGCTATCTGGCCGGCCCTACCTCTAAATTTTTTGTGCTGATGAAATACATTTTTTTAACCTTAAGAATTATCACTAAAATTCTCCTATATGTGTAACAAATTTCCTTGTCAAAGGAAATCTATGCCTGCAGCTAAAAATGTGGGAAATTTGCATCAGGGAAAATTTTAAATGTTTCCTTAATATGCCATCATAAAGATTTTTACGATCCATTTTAACAAATCTCTAGTATTTAGCCATCAAGTGTTTTCTCATTGGTTTTTTTTTTTTTTTTTTAGGGAAGGGTCTACAGGGCATTCAGGTTCTCACTACTAGATCAGACTCCTAGTGACCCCCCTGTTTACATTACAGCCTCCGAAGAGCTGGGATTACAGACTACAGACGAGCCACCACACCCAGTCTCAGTTGCTGTCTCAGCGCACCCCAGGGGCAGGGCAGCTCTGCAGGCCCAGGGATTAAACCCCGGCCCCTGCGCCTGCTTGCAGGCGTTTTAATC